CCCCTCCTGGGCGTCCCTGCCTTCCTTCCATCTGTGCTGACACCACTATTTTTGACTGCATGTACTTGAAATGTGACCATGTCTTTTCTCTTGGCTTCACAGTCTGGTCTCCTTGGAACAGGCGGAGAGCTGTGGTGCTGTCACCCAATCTGTAAAATAGTGTCCTTTTGCAAATTCAGTAACACCTGAGGGTAATAATAATAAAAATAATCCATAATGCTCTACAAAGTGTATAGGGGGAGAAGTGGGAGTTTTACACATACATTTTTTATATTTTTAAAACATTTTTCAAATTTGTGTGGAAAACAACACAGATGCAGAGATCAGTCATTGAATTTTAGTCCAATTTCACTTATTAAGTGGTGTTTTTAATACTTTAAATTTTTCGTGCAATCATTGGACTAACAGCTGAGTGAGTTTATCATGTCACTGACATATTAGTACTGCAGGAAGATGAGGTCTGTGCTAATCCTGAGTTGCGTGTGTAGCAGCTGTGATACATTCCGTGCACAGGATGTCATGAAGTTTCCCATGAGTTGCCGTTGTCCTTGTTGTAGACAGCATCACATGGGAGGGAGTGTATTCTACTGTCCATTAAGACTAAGTACTTAAGATGTATACATTACTTCTAGGGTTTTTGTAACTTCAAAACTGGGTATAGAAACATGTATGTGTAGTAAAGCATATAGCATACATAGTAAAGTGATTTGGTTTTCTTTTTTCATTCTTTAGCATGTTCAGTTATACTTTGACTTTTAAAAGTAAGTCTTTAAAAGAATTCTTATGCTTTCCAGACAGAAACACATATGTCAGTAAAAAAGAATGACAATGTTTTCAACAATATAGTAATTCTAGTTTTTACTAGTCTCTAACTTAGCCAACTATATATTCCAAGAATATGCCTTTTTTTATATTGTTCAGCCAATTTATATGTTTTGAGTTCAGGCAGCCTATTCTAGGCAGAGATGCAAAAAACCAACAGCTGGATGCTCCTTTGAACCTAATTTTCTTTAGAAGTAGATAAGTGAACACACATTATTATATATAATATAAAATATTTAATATAAATACAAGTGTATGTATATATGCAAAGATAGATATGTATGTATGTACTCACCGACTACAAAGACAGAAGAGCTGGCAGGATTAATTCTAAATATGCCAACACAATATAGTGAGTAATCTTGTGTTTGGACTTACCTGGTATGTGGGAGACTTAAATTGCTGGTTTCCAGTCTGAATTTGGGAATGGGCTGCTTGTCAATCACACACTGTAGTGTACTTCTGCAAGTGATAGCTGCTTGGTCTTAGGGTCCTCTCTGTTTCTTCTGCTGAAACTTTTCATGCTGTAGGTTTAAATATTCCCTAGGGCTGGTATCTGCTGCTTATCAAATAAGTGCCTTAACCTTTGAGTATAGCTGACCTCTTTCAATAGCACCATTAATATTTATCATTCATTTGAAGTGGAACACCACCTGCAGAGAATGGGACATGGGGCGGCTCACAGTCTGTCTACCAGGCCATAAATTTCAAGCCTGTAGAAAGTGGCATGTTGCCACAAGAATTTTTGCTTTCTGCATACCTGTGTTCTCTGTCCAAATGTATCAATGACATGTTTGGTTGATGCAAATCCCAGGCCAGAGGCTGAGAGTCTGGTTGATGGCAGTCAGGGTTTGATGTGAATAAAAGCTTTAGATAAGGGCAGGAGATTACAATTAGCAGCTCTCTGAGCTTCTCAGTTGCATATGAGATTTTTGCAGCTTAAACTTCCCACTGCTCTTTGGTGATGAAACTTGAATTGCTCCAGTTATATTGGTCACCTTCCAAATCATCCAGGCTCAGGAAAGCTGTATGTGCTGATTCAGCAGAAGGCCCGCGGAGCTCCAGCAGGAAGCCAAAATAAGCAAAGCCAAATGCCCTTATTTGCACAAGGCGGTTCTGTTTGCACGTTTACATTAAGACCCATAGGCTGCTTCCTCCCCCCAGCCTTTTTTCTTTCTTTTTTTAATGGGAAGAAGCAAAGAGATCCCTGTTACCACCGAAGAGACAAGGAGTCAGGTCTGTACTAGGGATGGTTGTCCGCTAAGCTTTGTGGCAGGCGTGGTATAAGCAGGTTGCCATCCTGTTTCTGAGCCCTAGTTTCTGGCATGGAAGGGAAGTCAGTGTTAGCTGTTAGCTCAGTGATTTCTTTCCTGGCTGGTGGGAACGTTTCCGTCAGAGCTGGGCATAGGCACACAAACCAAAAGAGAACTCTCTGAAAGCATTCCCAAGTCTTGTGATACCTTGTCATCATTTTTCCCCAAAACTTGGACTGCAGGGATGTGCTGTCAGAAATTGTTACAATAGGAAATAATTTCTGAGCTAGCCCCTCTGTGTGTTTTGAACGGTGACTAATGAGGCTGATGGCAAACTGCTCGTCTGGACATGCCTTCATCAAGCTGGAGGGGAACAGATTTAGATTTAGAGATTAGGAGAGGGTTCTTCACTGTGAGGTTGGTGGAGCACTGGAACAGGTTGCCCAGGGAGGTGGTTGAGGCCCCTTCCCTGGAGATATTCAAGGAGAGGCTCGACGAGGCCCTGGGCAACCTGGTCTAGTTGGGGGTGTCCCTCCTGACTGTGAGGAGGTCGGACTAGATGGCCTTTGGAGGTCCCTTCCGGCCTGGGCAATTCTATGATTCTATGATTCTATGAATTCCCATCTCTCCAGGCTGTCATGTGCCCCTTTGGAGGATTGTGCTGCCTCTCTTCCAGCTTTGGGTACAGCCAAATGAACGATTACAGGCAGTGCCATGCTGCCACGGTGCCGGTGTAGCTGCCCACCTCACCACTAAGCCGGTTCTGTTAAAATCACGAGAGGTGCTGTAGGGGCTGGGCTGTTAATCGTGTCGAAGGCTTGGCAGAGCCGGGCTGCGGCCTGGTGAAGCAAAGGCTGAGAACAGCCTCGCCGAGAGGCAGGGACTGCCCTCTGTTGCCACAGCAGCCAACACCTGGAGATGTGCACAGCAATGCTAATCTATTTATTTAGATCATCAGCTGCACAGCTTACCGAATTGTGCCCTCAACCAAATAAAACAATTTCCAGAGTATTTGCTGCCTACTTAGTAAGAGCGTGTGTAGACTAATGAGTTTAATGTTTATATGGCAGGCGGTGTGTGTGAGGCAAGGTACAAGAATGATTTGCAGTTTATGCAGTGACTTCCCCTTTACAGTGCTGTAGTGAAATACTGGAGATATAAACCTTATCACAGCGGGGCTTTAGAATTTTATCTTTTAACATTTTTGGTGGTACTTAAAAGATGTGAGGGTTTTTTTAATGTGATGTAATTTTTTCTTCTTGCTAAATAGAGCCTTTTGAGACTTGGCCAGGGCGAGGAGATCTAATTAAATTCATGTAATGATTCTGGGAGTCACTGAGGCTTCCAGTACTCCTACACATTTATCAATACACTGTTACGAGAGACAAATCATTTTAGCATTTGAGATGAAGTCAAGATTACTTTATGCGTGTTTGATGCACACAAGCCCTCAGATGATTGAGCTGTGTAGCTCCTGCCGTAGGTGACCTTTTATGATGAAGAGGTCTTTCTGAAATAAATCTTCTCAATCACATGCCAATTCTTGTGCTCACTCGATGTACCCATAAAAATAGGGACATGCCTACTCAGAGCATTACCTGGCACCTGTGCCCATGCCCCAGAGGGAGAAGTACAAGAGCCTGCATGGCAGTTTTGTGCAGCAGTGCACACAGACTAACAAACCCTGGGTCACAGCTTTATTCCTGTAGTCAAACATGGCTTTGCCATTCCACTGCTTAAAAGACAGCTGCTTGTGTCATTCTGCGGCTTGTGGTCATCTCCTGTAGACGTACTGAGGTGGGTTTCTTCTGGTTCAGTGAGACCTGCAGTGCAGTTGGTTGTGTGGTACAAGTGAAATCCTGTCACTGCAGAGGGGCTGTGTGAAGCCCTGCAACGTGTGTTATTTGGGAAGTTGTGTCCCCTCTAGCTTAAAAATCTGCAGCTATTTGGAAGTACCGAGTCTTGGGGTGGGTGACAAATCTCCCAAGGACAGGAGGCTTCCAAAAATGCCTTAAATCCTGCGCTAGCATTTAGCACTTCGCTGCATCCATTTTGGTGGTGGCTGACACTGGGTTTCTCAGCAGCATCTAAAAGTAAATGTGGTAGAATATGAAGGTATCCAAATTGTTTGTAACCGTTACGATTTTGCCAGAGGTTTTTCCTCTCTTTGGCTAATTCATAGAGTACAGGTAACTTGACAGTTATAAGTAGAGCACAGCAAGTCACCTCAGCAGCTGAGCGTGCCTCTGGAGACTCCCTAAGCCCAACCTCCCACTCAGAGAAGCGCCTTCTAACCAGCAGAGCCATAATTTTATGCTACAAGTGCTCAGATTTAGCACACTCAAGTGAGTACACCTTGTAGGCAACCAGAGGATGTAAGCCCAGTTCATTTTTGCCATGAACAAGCCCCACCAGTTCCCACTGAAGTAACCAAAAATGCTGCTTGTTCCATCTGGTGCCGAATTTGGCTGCTTGGGCAACTGGACAGGGAACAGCACAATAATTGTCTCTTCTTTTCTATCTCATTCCCCATTACTGCCATCAACAGTTCATAAAAAAAAACAATTGTTGCAAATGGGTTGTCTTAATGAAGACCAGATATGTTGTCACAGGTTTAGGGCAAGATTATGTTCCTTGCTACCCTGAGGAAAACTCTGGGATGTGTCAGGAGCCAGAAGAGGTGTGACCAAGAGGCATCTTGAGCTACTACAAGTTCTGTTGGCTGAATAACCGCTCACTAGTTTGACAGAGAGCAGTTTTTACACTGGTTTTTCTTTTGGTTGCATCTGTGGGGAAAAATGAGGTATTTTTGCCCAAACTGGAAGGAAAGTAGCAAATATAGTTTCAGCTAGGCAACTCTGTTTATTGACATATTTGAAGAGGCGTATGTACAACCATTTTTCCTTTTTTTTTTTTTAAATTTAGTGGGGCTACATCCATTGTCTACAGATGCAGGCAGAAAGGGACCCAGAAACCTTACGCCGTCAAAATGTTGAAGAAGACAGTAAGTCGTTTTGTTTTGTTTTGCTTTGCTTTGCTTTGCTTTGGGACATGTTTGGGATTTTCTGGGTTTTTTCGGTGCAGTTTCTTTGTGTGGGGGAAACGGGCTAGATTAAGGACCCTGCTAAGCTTGTATTTTCTGTGACCTCGCCACTTCTGCTCCTCATCATTCAAACAGCTTTTTGAGGTAACAGTACTCTGTTGGGAATGCCTTATCCCCACAAATCTTGCTTGTACCTTCATCTGGTATTGTCTGTATAGACTTAGATTTGCGAAAGACTTTTTATACAAAAATGTCTTTTTCTTTCACTATGGAAAAAAAAGAAGGTTCTGAATCATTTAAGTTTTCTGTGATTTCATTTTGCTTTCACACGTTGTTTTGCTCAAAAAATATCATTAAATGATTTCTTTCTTTTAGAAGGTGATTAAAACACCAATTCAAACTCAAGTAAAATTAAATATTTCATGGAGTTTTTTTCCTCTTTCAAAATTGCAAGGGAACCAGTTGAGATATCACTTATTTTTAGAGCTCCATGTATGTCACACTTCTACTACAGCTATTTTTGTGCGTGTTACAAAATAGATGGTGGAAAGCACGAAGAGACTAGAGAGGAAAGGGCAGTAATGAATTGAGGGGCTTCAAGCAGGAAGAGAGTGTGGAGATTGGGGTAGAGAGGTTCATGTTCCTAAGAGGGGGAGAGAAATTTGAGAGGAAGCAAGCAAGCTATGAGGCATGGACATGATTTTTATTCATGAGTGGTTTTGATTCAGTTTATTCCAGTGTTAAATCATCCATTATTCCATAAAGTTCAGGAATGTTCACATGTAGCAACATAATGATGGGTGGGTAGGCGTAAACATGTCTAAATGCTGAATTAACTGGTGGTCTCTGTGCAAGACATAATGAGTGGGTTCCACATGAGTAAAATGTTGGCATTAATTTGTCATCTTTGAAAGTAAGCCAGAGTTTAAACTGGCACAGAAATTCAGTTGTGTGTGCTGCTTTTGAATTTGCATCTGGTGCACTGGAGGAAGCAGAGCACACGAGGAGCTTGCATTGCTGCAGCCTACGCTCTATCTTTCCCATGGAAATGCAGAGAACTTAGCTCTTAAGTTTTTATCTGTCCTTTATACCAACAATTCCCATAATGTTTTAGGAGTATACTTTCTTATAATTCTCATTCTGAAATGCACTAGGAAGAATGATATTACTTTAAAATATTTCTTTTTTGGGGCTTTTTTTAGAGATCAATTCATGTTCAGAATGGCCACATTAATACTAGATCCACCAATTTGTGTCTGAAACTATTCAGCTTAGACTGATTTCTGTAGCACAGAATTTTTTTAAAAAAACTGTAGGGAAAATGGCAAGTAAGAAGAATATAAGAATGTGATTATGTAAATTGTTTGCACAGCAGCAATAGCTTGGCTTAATGCAGCCTTGATTATATTAGCAGTGTGGTTAAGCAGTTCATGCAACTGAGTTTTTCCCGGTGTAATGGGTACACTTTGGGATGTTCTGTTATGAGAACAAGTGATACTATTACACAACTGAGCTTATTTGTATAATTGAGAACATGGGAGGCGATACTGTAAGGATGTTCTACTGCTTGTCTCTGCGTGCCATGAGCTACTGTAGCTCTGTTCCAATTTGGAGACGTAATTATTATCACAGAGACAGAACTGTGTGTTACACTGCTCCCACAGCAGGAGGCCTGATCTTTGCTCAGAGTATCTCAGTGTAAAAATAGCCAAGTGTGGGCCAAATCATGTACCAAAATGTTGATTGGCTTAAGTTTCCTGTTGGCTTTTTTTAAGCAGAAAAAAAACAGATGGTAGTTCAATAGTGGAGTTAAAGTGATGGGATTAAAATGAGGAAGAGCCTGCGACTGTTTGCTTTTGGTGCAGAGTCCTATTTCTTCAATTCCCTTTCTTAAATGCACAGAAGGGAGCTCTGAAGAGCACAGGAAATTAGAAGATGACAGACGAAGATGGTGAAAGAGCAAATATTCTGATTTTTCCGTTCAAACTGACTGAATTTAAACACTGCACCGAACAAGACTAACTGCTGAGGAAGAGTGTCTGTAGAAACAGAGTGAGGGTCAGGGAGAGGGCGGTCCAGCTTGTTCTGAAGCGGTAACAAGTGATGTGTGATTAGGAGTCTAGTGCCCGACTGGCAGCTCCAGCTTTGTGAATGCTGATCACTACAGTACTGTAATTTCAAGTAGAGCATTAAAAATTATTACTTTTGTCCCATGGGAATAGCTCATATAAGAAACAAATGATCCTTTTGGATTGAAGTAGTGTGCTAGGAACAGACTGCAAGAAACAAAATGCCTATCAATGTTCTTTTCATTTATATAATAAGATTAATTTTTCATTCTGCCTGACTAATGCATTCTCATTTAAGAGCAAATAAATGTTTGGGCAAGACATATCAGCCAATTCTGAGAATACACACTTATGGAGAGATGTGAGGTCTTAGGACATTCTGTAATTACTATTTCTTTCCCATCTAGCTTAATAAAATAGTATTCGCAGAATATTGCTTAGTTCTCAGAATATTGCTTAGTTCTATTCAGTTTTTCCTGACTGCTAGATAAGCCAACGAAGAGAAATAGGAGAAAATGTGTTTATACAAATCTTTTTTTGGTCAATAAAATAAAATAAGATTTTGGGAATATTTTATTTCAGTTTAGAGGTTTAATCATTCTTAACCCTTAATTAAAATTTTATATAGTTCCAAAAGGAGGAAAAAAGTGCTTTTTTGCTGGTTCAAAATTACTGAAACAGAATGCATCAGTTCTTCATTTTGTTTTGGTTTTGTCAAATTCAGCCCAAGTTTAGGAGTACTTTTGAATCCTGTTAAGTTACACTTTGGATGAATAAAATTTAGTTCAAAGAACGCTTCTGGTTCTTACTCCTGAGGTGTCTGACTGTCAAAGTTAGGAAACTGGCAGGCAAATTAGGACTATATATAACTTCCAGAGCAACTAAGAGAAGTCCAAAGAAAAATTGATGTATGTATTAGTGGGAAAAAACCTCTCAGATAATGTATTAGAAATTAAATTAGTGATTGTTCTTAGCAGATATAAAAAGAAATATGTTTATAAAACAACATGTATGGGACAGGTAAATAAGCATGCTAAATTAATGCCTTTGATTTGCTCGGTTCCTGATCGTAATTGAAATGTAGGATTATTATTTGATTTTTGCTATGCTTAGCAGATCTCTTAAATTCCACACAGATGACAAATAGAAAGGTTTGAATAATGTAATTTCTTTGTGGGTAAATCCATTTCATGAAGAAAAGCAGATCATATAGCACTTCAGAAAGACTCATCAAATGAGCAAAGTACTGTGATGAACTTCTACACTTGCAATTTCAAATATGAGGTTGGTTCGCTTTTCACTACATGATTGACCTCTGCTTGATGACTCAGTGCTTAAGAAAAATGAAGTATCTTCAGGATACGCTTTAAAAATATGATTGTTACTTTTAAGCCGAGACTTAAAAATTATGTGAAATTTGCAACCAGTTGTTCTGGAACAGTTTTTGTTGCAAACAACGTGTAATCACCTGGATCATACTGGAAGAACACCGGGTTCCTGAAGGGAGCAAACATATTTGTGTGTTATTTATGAAATGAAACCTCTCCTCTGCAGACCTTTGCCTCCTTTGTGTGCTTTGAGAAAGCTGGGCAGCATATGAACCCTGGTTAGCCTGAAGATTGTCTCATAGTCTGGGCAGGTGCGTGCCTTCCAAGAAATTAGATCTACCTCTGCCTTAAATTTCCTACCTGGGTCTGGACAAGTTGCTTTAAAAATAGTGAGGAGAACAGATGGCCTCTGTTCCAGGGTTTCTGAATTAAGACACCAAGTGCCAGCTTACGTTGGAGGTCTACCAAATGCTAACAACTGCAACTGAAGTCAATTGAGAGCTGCCATTACAATAAAGCTCTGCGGAAAGGAGATCAGGATGCTGACCTGGGTTGTCTGGAGCCTGGGTCTGAAACCAGGACATGGTGTGTTCCCAATTCAGCCTCTGCTGTTGGCCAAGGTATTTCTTTTGTTTTCAGCTTTCTCATCCATAAAAATGAGATAATACTTCTTTGATTTCCTTCTCAGCAATGCTTTCAAGGGCAGTCTGGTTAATATGCCTAGGTTTTAATTGATAGGTGGTGTCCCCAAAGAGTGATTAAGTATTATGAAGTGTTAGGCCTTCTGTGTCTCAGTCAACAAGGCGTGCAGGTACAGACACTATTTTGGAGAATTCGCAATTTTATTTCATTTTTTTCATGTGTGGGCATCCTCCCTCACTAGGTTTTTGATGCTTAACTGATACTTTCTCAGCACTTAATTAAAATCAGTATTTATGAAGCAGCATTCTTCTTGCAGGCTGGTCAGTGTTCAAAATAAGACAAACATTCAGGCACGTGACTTTTTCTTGGATCAGAATCAGAGAAAGAGTTTTAAAGCAACACGTATGCTGAAAGTAGTTGTGCTGGGATTAGTCCAATTGTACTAATCAGTTAGTGAATTTGAGAACAACAAATAGTTCATATCTGTGGAGCAGAGAGGATTGAGAGCCGATGGAAACGTAACAAGCTTCCCTCCTGGTTAAGTGGGGTTGGATATCTGGAGTTAGAATCTGAAGATTATAATGGTCTATAAGGGCATATATAAAAAGTCTCAATTTTGTTCATGTTTGCATACATATATATGTTTGCATACATATATATACACACACACTATAACATAAATACATAAGTATATATTATAAAATATATATGTTCCTAACTATAGAGGGAGTGTAGTTGGCTGAGTTTTTCAGTTTGTGATGCTGTGAATTGGTGGTATTAAGTAGTAATCAAGAGATGAGGCTCGTGCAAATGTTTTGTCTGTTTTCTTAGAGGAATGCTGCTTTTGGTTGAGTGTGACCAATTGACTGAGAAGGCAAGTGCCATGGAGTTGGGGGGTGGGGACTGTCTATCACACTTGGAG